AATTCATGTAGCCTTCAGATTGAGTTGTTTTGCAGAGATAAAGGTCTGGACTTTTTTTTTTTTTTTTTTTTGGTGTCCTTTGTGAAAGCTTTCTCAGCATTATACAGTTTTGAAACGCAAATTTGTTTTTGCTGCAAGTGTTTCCAAATAATTCAGTTGTCAAACAGGTTTTGAGCCTAGCTTTCAATGCTAAAAGCAGAAAGGAAAACAAAACAAAAAATTCCACTATCTAAAGCTAACGTTGTCAAGGTGTTTGCTTCTTTAGAGTTGAGATTATTTTTATAATTGAGGATGGTGATTTTAAAAATTCACTTCCCTTAGGCATTCAAAAATTGTCACAATAAATTAGATCATAGCACATCTATTTTAAAAGTTACTAGTAAAGACTTACATGATTCAGGATTTTATGGATTATAAATAGGACTTTATCTGGTTAAAAAAAATGCATACAAGAAGTAATTTCATTAAACTACAGTTAACAAATATTTCCTTTTTTTCCAGTAACCTTTATAAGAGCCTAACATTTGAAGAGTAATTAAAATAGAAATTAATGCACTAAAATATTTCCATAGGCATTATATTATTTCAGCTTTAATAACTACATTAAGTAGCCACTCTTTTTTTTTTAACTACACTTGGAGACTGTTTATGACAAAACATTTCCAAACCTTCAAAAGACATGGGGCCAGTATTTTCTAAGTGAAAAAGACTGCACATCTGAAAAGTTTAGCAAACTTTTCATATAGCGCAAGCATTCTATGTTTCAACAGTTATTTTGACCTGTATTTTGATATTTACTCATTTCTCCACATCATTGAAGGAGAATTACTGATCTGTTTAACTTTGCTCCTTAAACCCTAGACAAAGAATGGTAGTTAGAATTTATAAAACATTCCAATTTTATACCCATCAAAGTAGGTAGTTTTGTTATTTAACTCATAAATCTTTACTACCTTTGTTAGTTTATTTGGGATATTTTACCAGTTGTAACACATTCTTCAGCTTGTCCCCTTTTCCAAAAGGTACAGGTGCAACCCAACCACTTTAGCAAAGGAACACTATGTACTTGCATGTTGTTTTTAGTGAAACAAGATCATGAATATTCAATAGTCTCAAATGTGTGAAGATCAACATGAAGACTGGAATTATTTTAAAGCTTTAGAGATGAACAGCAAATAATAATGAAAGTCACCCTTTATGTATTACATCGCTGAAAACCCATATTCTTGGAGAATTCTTAAAATATACATCAAACATTTAAAGAAAAAAAAGAATCACCTACTTCTTTGTTTTGACCTTGTTGTTGTTAAGTGCTTTCGAGTCAGTTCCGACCCATAGCGACCCTTTATAGGGTTTCCGAGGAACAGCTGGTGAACTTACACTGCCAACCTTGCAGTTCAAACGGCTTTGCAGTCTGGCGCATTAACCCACAGCTCCACACCAGGACTCCCAGCTAAATATTTTCACAAACTTTACTGTTTGTCAGTGTATCATTTTACTTATTTTTATAATTCTGAAGGCCTATATCATTATGGCGTCCTGGTATGGCGCTGTGGGTTAAAGTGCTGGACTGCAAAGTCTATCTGAACCGCAAGGTCAGTGGTTCAAGCTCACCAGCTGCTCCTTGGAAACCCTATACAGGATCACTATGGGTTGGAACCGACTCAATGGCACTTAACAACAACAACAATATCATTTATATTTGATTCCTACTCCATTAAAAGGAGCTCTGGTAACGTAGTGGTTACGAATCGGGCTGCGAACCTTAAGGTCAGCGGTTCGAAACTACCAGCTGCTCTGCGGGAGAAAGATAAGGCTTTCTACTCCCGTAAAGATTTACACCCTCGGAAACCCTGTACAGGGTCTCTATGGGTCAGAACCGACTCAACAGCACTTAACAACAACAACTCCAGTGAGAAAAGGAAAAAAAAAATTGTCTAACATCTCTGGTAAAATATCTCTAACCTTATACAGTGTGGTAGGAGAAAGATGAGACTTCCTGCTCCCGTAAAGATTTATGGCCTCGGAAACCCTATATACAGGGTCACTATGAGTCAGAAATGGCTCAGTGGCATCGTACCACCACCATATATTGTTGCTAGGTTTTTTTTCTGCCCTCTCTCTTTCTTTTTGAAAATTTCTTAGTCTTAATTTAAATTTTTTGTTTCTTCTGAAGTAGTCATTTACTTATAGTTATAGATGTATCATTTCACTGACATGGTTTTAAAACAATCTGATGGTGCTTTCCCTAATATGAAAGAATTAATGGTTCAAAGTTTTAGGAAAACCTAATACTATTGCACTAGATCTTATACTGAAGATTTTTGTTAATCTCTTGAAAATCAGCAATGGAGGCAAAAAAGGCATTTTTGTCATAGATGTCTTTCTTCAAAAAAGACCATATCTAGCTAATAAGAACAAGTATGTTTGGGTTTAATGGGAAATTTTTTATAGAGGCTTTTAAACTCCAAATTAAGTGGCATAAGATGTAAACATAATTGAATGTTGTAATTTTTTATTTCACAGAGCCATTTTTTAAAACTTCCTAACTATAAATTATCTAAGCATATAAATCGATGCTCATTATTCAAATAGCATAGCTGAGCACAGTAGATCCAGTTTCTGGGTTACCATCTGAATTATTGTTGTTGTTAAGTGCTGTCAAGTCGGTTCCAATCCATAGCGACCCTTTATAGGGTTTCTGAGGAGCAGCTGGTGAGCTTGAACCACTGACCTTGCAGTTCAAAAGACTTTGCAGTCTGACGTATTAGCCCACGGTGCCACACCAGGGCTCCATCTGAATTATGGACAAATAGGAATGAAATAAGGAGTTCTGGTAGTGTAGTGGTTACGAATCGGGCTGTGACCCTCAAGGTCAGCTGTTTGAAACTACCAGCTGTTCCAAGGGAAACAGATGAGGCTTTCTGCTCCCGTAAAGATTTACAGCCTCGGTTAACCCTGTACAGGGTCGCTATGAGTCGGAACCAACTCCACAACACATAACAACAACAACAACAAGGAATGAAATATTTCATTGAAAATTTCAAAGCTTTAGAAATAATAACATCAACAGCTGTAGATGATATGCATTAAATGTACTAGCCACCATGCTAGTGCTTTATATGTATTAAAGAACCCTGGTGACACTGTGGGAGAAGTGTTGGGCTGCTAACCTCAAGATCGGTGATTCAAACCCACCAGCCCCTCCACAAAAGAAAGATGAATTTGTTTTCTTCAGTAAAAATGTAGTCTTGTATACCCTACATAGAATTGCTGTGAGTTGGAATCTATTCAGTGGCATTGAATTTTTTAATATATATTATCTCATTTAACCCTAATGACAATGTTACATATTGTTGAGATTCCAGATAAGGAAATTGAGATTCAAGTAGGATCATACAGATGGTAAGTGATAGAGCTTAGATTTAAACCCAGGTTTCTGACTCTAGAATCACCATGGAACTATTGTTATGTTGTTTCCCTTTTGTCTCTATTCTTTGACAGAGCTCAGAATTTCAAACTTTATCCTAAACAAATTGAACAAACCATGGGAAAGAATCCATTTATCTACCAAGCCAAAGATTTGTTTTCTACTCAAATCACATGTTTATTTTATGGCTATCTGTGCATATTGATTTCATGGGATCTTTGGGAAGTTTAATAATAGTTACTTAATCAGGGTTTTTTTCATAATGAGAGATTACTCATATGTAGATAAACACATGTTGCTTTAATCATTGCTGTATTATTTTTTTAAAAAAGATACAGGTAGGTAGAGTATGTTTAATTTATTTTTAATGTTGGTAAGAGTCCTTCAGTTTAATGAAATTAAGGGTCAAATTTTCCAAGACAGCTTTGTTTTTGAGTCTGCTGAATTTAAATGTGCTCTTGTTTTGCATACTTGTAATCTTCCTTCATAATTATTGCTTACTTATTCTGTGCTCGGTCATGTGAATTGTATTTAAAAAGCACTGACCATATTCACAGAGGCAGCTATAAAAAAAAAAAAAAATCTTTAAAATATATCCTCTTATAAACCTTGAGTCCACTGGGTCAGCCTGAAATACATACTCAAAGTAAGTGCATTGTTTATATTTTTTCCATCTTAGCTAATGTAAAGGTTAACATTAAATATCTCAGAAAGAAAATATTCTTCAGTAAACTCCATTTCTTTTAATGGATGTTTTACATCTTCAGTATAAGCTATATATTGCCCCTGATCATACTGGCAATATATACTGAAAAAATATTAAATAAATAGCCGATGATTACAAGTTTCTGATTAGATTCAAGGTCAGATTGTTTGACTTTAGTTCTGTTACCATCCTGATTCTCTAAGAACTTGAGTTTTTACTGTCTTTAGCTACAAAATATAGATAATATAACAAAGATATTTTAGGGTACAATTAAGCATTTCTTGTATGTTTTCAAATAGCTTCCTTAAAGGGATGATAAAGTTGAATGTACTCTTTTATGCAAGAAGCACATAATAATAGCAATTCATTAGTTTAAAAAATAAATGTATAGGCTAGAATTACATTTTATCATCGTATTATCTGATTTTTCTTTCTTAAAGAAAGGAGTTTGCCTGTTGTTGCATATTTCTTACCATTCCTACTGTTCAACCAATGAATTGTTTTCTTACAGAATATGGACAGTCTCAATTCCACATCATATCCTGAGAGTACTGGAACTGATGATGTTGAACTGATGTCTGATGAAAGGTAGCTTGAGAATTCTCTGCTCACCTTTTTTTTCAAGTTTATGAAAAGATTTTTGCTTCACTTTCTTTTGTGTATATTATGGCATCTAAGAAGACTAGAGTTAAAAGATTATATGTTTACCACCAACATTTTATAGCATGGAAAATGATTGGAATAGAACCTCTAACATGGTGGCATTAAAGGCAGAGAAATGGCTTTATTCGTACTTGTTTATGTTTCTGGTTTTGTTTTATTTTTATTTATTTGTTGTTTTGTTTATAAGTTCTCTAAGAATTTGGTTTAGAGCTACTCAGCCTGTTTTAAAAATAAATTAAATCATAATATCAGTGGATTAAAAAACTTATATACAAATTGTCATTTTACAATATTTTGTTGTTGTTGTTTATAGCCATGAAAATGAAAAAGATGGTGAACACCCCCAGCTATATGAGGTGAGTAGGTCACAAATGAGATTGTGACTTGACAGCTTTATTCAGATATTATTGATTATTATCCCTCAATAATGTTTAATGAGAAAAACGAGAGGCTGTGATTCATGGATATTAAAAACTCATTGAGGTAACCTTGGAACGCTATTATTTTGCTTTTTTAATTATTATATTTTGCTTGTGAAGATGAACTGTAATATAATGGATATTTCTTGTTAGATTATCCATAAAATCACAATAAAGCAAAACAAGTCAAAGCTACTAGTTTGCTTTCCCATCGCTTGGTGCATTTTTTAAATGAATGAAATAAAAAGCTAGTGAGTTTTCATAGATACGTCGCAGACATTAAGTACTTTCAAATTCACATAAGTTCAGTTGTTGTTGTGTGCCGTGGAGTCGGTTCCGACTCATAGCGACCCTGTACAGGCTTTCTGAGGCTGTAAATCTTTACAGGAGCAGAAAGCCTCATCTTTCTCCCACAGAACAGCTGGTAGTTTCGAACTGCTGACCGTGAGGTTAGCAGCCCAATTCCTAACCACTACGCTACCAGAGCAAGTTCAGTAGGAGCTACTTAATCCAATTCTTTTTCTGAGTTTTAAGGAAATAGTGGAGAATACATATCTAACTCTCTTTTTCCTGTCTGTATATTAAAGTTTCAGTTTCCTGGCTTCCCATCCCCCCTTTTAGCACATCCCCATGCTAACCCAAGGATTTTCTTACCCTGCTTCCAACTCTGGCCAAACCTCATTTTTCATTCATTTGTGAGTATTTCATCTATCACTTCCAAATGTTTCCAACATCACCTCCAGTCTTTTTATCAATTTTCTTTTTGGCAAGAAGCGTTTCTCAACGCTTTCTTGAATTCTGACTCTTGATTGATTGTTTATAGATTGTATCTGCTACCTTGATGATCCTTTTGTTTTGTTTTGTTTTAATATACATTTTATTGTGCTTTAGTTTACCCAGAAAATTAGTTTTCCATTTCTTCATTCATTCATACAGTGTTCCATGACCTCGGTTGCAGTCTTTGCAATGTATCAGCACTCCCTCCATTGCTATCCTGGGCACCCTGTTTCCATTCATCCAGTTGACCTGTGCTCCCAGCCTTTTCTTCTTCATTTTTGACCAACCGTTGCCCATTTGGTGTTGTATAGGAGTACATTCCTCATGGATGTTATTGTTTATTTTATAGGACAGTCTGTTTGGTTGAGAGGTGGTCTCCAGAGGTAGATTCAGTTCCCAATTTGAAGGGTGACTTAGGGCAGTAGTCTCGGGGGGTTCTCCAGTCTCTATCAGATCAGTGAGCAGCCCAATGATTCTTCATCTTTGATGGGCACTGACCTATTGACTAATAGAGCTGGAATCTAGTAAAAGTGATAGTCCCAGCCCCCTTAAGAGTTTTACAATCCAGCAGATTAAGAATCTAGCATGTGTTGGCCCATCTTCTTAGAAAAATGCACATTCACAATTTTTTGCCTTAAAAATTTTGCTCGGAATTAATTGCCACTGCCACCCCTTAAAACTGTGAATTCCTCATATTTTCTCAATTCAGTCATTTCTTCTTCACTGTTGTTAAGTGCCATCAAGTTGGTTCCAACTCATAACAACCCTGTATAGGGTTTCCTAAGAGCAGCTGGTGGGTTTGAACTGCTGATCTTGTGGTTAGCAGTCCAGTGCTTATCCTACAGCGCCATACCAGGGGTCCATTCATTACCCAGCCATATAATTGGAGGGAAAGTCTTCCTGCTTCTGACTTCGCAGCTTCTGAGTCACTTTTTTCATCTCTTAATTCCAGCTCATTTGTGCTTCTCTAAGCCAACATTCTTTCCTTGTCTCTAGGTTTCTTTTGAAGTGCGCAGTTTCCCCATGATAATATGTTTTCTCTTCTGCTTTTATCCTTTTTCTGCCATCTCCCTCTGTTCACAGCACTCACCTACTCATCATGCCATTGAACGTTATTTTTAAAAGAAATTGTTTTTCTAACCTCTTGGAGAGGTCTTCTTAGTTCTTCACTTTGATGCCTCATATCCTTTATGAGATAAAAAAGCACACAGTAACCTTTGTGAATGGACTTCAAGACATTAACTCCTAAACTCCAAATGGCACCCAAACTAAATTCACACTGAACTCAATTTGCCTTGATATTTTTTATGACCAACTCCCATAGCAGTAGATGAATCATAGGGAAAGAATCTAAAATCCTTCTTCCATGTGCCAGGTCCTATTCTTATATATGTAACCCATGTGCAGCTACCAATTGACATCCAGCCCACTGTTGGCATTCATTAAACATTCACTATTAATAATCATTGTCATCATAGTAATTTCAGTTAGCAGATAAAATTAGGCTATGACTTAAAGTCTAGATTATGCTCTCGTGTTATCTTCCACAACTGTACGCAGGGGACAAAGGCGGCATCCCTCTAAAGAAGATCAAGAGTGTGTTTCCTCTTGTGAAGGCATGCGTTTCTTTCATGGAAAAAAGAAATCATTTGTTAACCACGATTCTCTTGTACATAAGGTCACTATCAGTAAGAACCGACTTCATAGCACCTAGCAACATCATTCATGAAGGACTGTGAAAAGGTCTATTTTCTGATTTTAAAGCCATTTCCCCAGTTTACAGTGTGTTATCAGTTCTTAATTTTGACTATATGTAGCATTTTCTAGAACTTATTTTAGCACACAAATGTATCTAGTTTTCTGGTTGTTGTTGTTTTGAAGTGCCGTTGAGTCGGTCCTGACCCATAGCGACCTTGTATAAGGTTTCCAAGGAGCAGCTGGTGAGCTTGAACCGCCAACCTTGCAGTTCAAATGACTTTGCAGTCTGGCGCATTAACCCCACAGTGCCACACCAGGACTCCAGTAGGAAAGCAGTAATGCAATAATTCCTAAATTTCAGAGATAAAAAATAAATCTAGGCTTTGGTCACCCCTTCTAGAATTCCTAGAATTAAAATTTCATTGATATGCTATTTCATATCTTCCTGTAGCTTCAATTTGAGGTTCCACATTATACATACCTACTATAAATGATATGATAATGTCTCCAATTGAATTTTCCTTTAAGACAGAGTTTGTCCTCATTAATATTGTTCTTTTAAATTCTCCATGAAAACTGTCAGATTCATGTAGGGTAATACTTCAGACATATTATCAGGAAGGACTAGTCCCTGGAGAAGGACATTATGCTTGGTAAAGCGGAGGTTCAGTGAAAAAGAGGAAGACCTCCAACGAGATGGGTTAGCACAGTGGCAGCAGCTGTAGACTCAAGCATAACAACAGTTGTGAGGACCGTGCAAGACTGGGCATCTTGACTTCTCTGGAGCATTCTGGCTGTACTTCTTCCAACACTGATTTTTTTGTTCTTCTGGCAGTCCATGGTACCTTTAATAATCTTCTCCAACACAGTAATTTAAATGCATCAATTCTCATATAAACATTGGTCAATGGGAGTTACCTATTTCTATGCCATCTAAGTTTGGATTATAAATTGCTACTCTGGCAAGAAAAAAGAAGTTACAGTTACTTCAAAATAACTGCCAAAAAGTAAAATATGATTTCTTTGAGTAGGTTTTGGGAAAGCTGACATTTTAATAAGTCTTAACAGTTTAGGCTGTAAAATATTAGATACACTGCTCCCTGAATATTTGTTGTTGATTTCAAATTTAGTTAACAGCTGGATGTATCCAAAACAGGTTATTCTTAAAACTAATAACTATAAATCCTAAAAGATACTATTTTAGAATACACGTTTTTCAGAGTTCTAATTACAATGGAGCTCAAGCTTCCATTTCTTCTGAGAAGTTATTTTCTGTTATAAAATGTTTTATGTTTATATAAACATTAGTATGTTTATATATTATATTACATAATATGTTTATATAATAAAAGTATAATATCATGATAAACCTCTATCAAAAAATCAAAAACAAGTAAAACTTATTAGCTTTGTGGAAGGATATTATATTTCTGGGAGAGCTCATCTTATGTTGGCATTAAAAGGCCAATAAAGTGTTAAATTCTTTCCAGATATTTTTACATTTTTATGCTTTCTAAGCCTACTGCTTAGGAAAGCTTAGAAGCATACCTTTGATAACAAACAAGATATTCATAATAAACAAAAAGGCTATTTTCCTTTTTCTTCAAAAAATGCATTGCCATCAAGTCAGTGTCGACTCATAGACAACCTTTCAGGACACAGTGCAACTGCTTCATAAGGTTTCCAAAACTAGATTTTTACAGAAGCAAATATCCAGATGTTTCTCCCATGGAGTGACTAGTGGGTCCAAACTGCCAACCTTTTTCTTAGCAGCTGAGCTCTTAACCACTGCACCACCAGGGGGGGCTCATGGAAAAATGGAATTCAAAGTTAACAGAATTTTTTCACTAATTTTTTGTAGCACCCTTGTACAAAGAGAGGCGAGAGAGAGATGAAGAGCAGACAAAGTTTTCCAGTCAAGACTAAGAAATTGATAGTAGTTATAAAATCTCCAGTGCATGCTATTATTTACCCCATGGAAGTTAGAGAGATTTGTGAACTATCCCCACCTCAAGAGTGGTGGTTGAAACTCACCAGCCACTCCTCAGAAACCCCATACAAGGTCGCTATGAGTCAGAATTGACTCTACGGTACTTAACAACAACATCCTCAAGTTTGGGAGTGTGGTGGCTCCATAGGATAAGCGCTGGACTGTGAACTATAAGATCAGTGGTTTGAGCATATCAGCCACTCCACAGGAGAAATCAGAGGCTTTCTGCTCCTGCAAAAGATTTAAATCCTATATAAGGTCACTATGAGTCAACCCAACTCCGCAACACTTAATAACAACACTTCAAGTTAGACAGTAAATAAGGAAGACCATGGATGTATTGATGCATTGAGTTACATTGCTAAAGAATATTGAAAGTACCATTGAGTGTCAGAAGAACAAATAAACATGTGTTGGAAGAAGTACAACCAGAATGCTTCTTAGAAGCTAGGATGGCCAGATTTCATCTCTC